AACCTCAGACTTGATCGACTGGTCCACTCAACAGGAACAAAAGGCTGATTGCTATTATGATTAAAAGATGAACACTATTGATTGGGCGTAATTGCTTAGGACGTCTAATCCATCCATGCAACAAACTTAAATGCTGATTATTTATTAAGGATACCAGAATAAGTAAGATTAAAAAAAGAGTTAATTTTACTGAGGTTTGAATTATGGCACCATTTGTGATATTTTTCAATGGCAAACTGTGAATTTGGAAGAATGGAACACACTGTTTTACAATTAAAAACATATTTACATCTTAAGAGGGTTTTCTGTTGTATCTCAAAAGCTAAGGAAAATAAAGGAAGCTTGATTAAAATGGATTTATTTGCATGTTCCTAATTATTAATGGTATTGGAAGTTGTTTGAAAATGGGTCATTTGTCAATGTGGCATCAAAACCACAAATTCAACAAACTTCATTTCTACTACAAAATTCATTTGAACAAATGCACTACAGTGCGGGCAGTGGGACACTGGCTTGTAGAGTGTGTGTTTATGGCAGGAGGTTTGCAAAAAGCCTCCCTCAGTGTTTACCAGTGAGGGCAGATGTCAGGGATTGCTGTGGAGGAGCAGACACAGCCACATCTGATTAACAATATTATTGCCTCCTCCAGATGGCCATAAAGATTCCACCCCCCCCCCCTCCATTTATTTATTTATATTTCAGGCTGTGGCTGTGCTGTCCTGTGGCATGGCCAGAGTGACACTGCCACCATCCACAGAAACCAAACACGAGTCAGGAGCCAGAAGGTTAAGACAAAAGGAACTACTGTGATGTAAAATATAAAAATATCTAGGGATACATACATAAAACAATATCACTTTATATTCAAATACACTGTGCGTCATTTGTTCTGTTATTTTTGTGCAATTATGAAATATATGTAACTTGAATTCAGAACAAATCATTAGCATGTCTTCAACAAGTGAAACACCAGGGGCTAACATTTGCTCACATCTTAGCTTCAAGAGAACATCACAGTATGAATCATGAGTCTCGTGGGAGTGTGTGTGTGTGTGTGTGTGTGTGTGTGTGTGTGTGTGTGTGTGTGTGTGTGTGTGTGTGTGTGTGTGTGTGTGTGTGTGTGTTCCTATGTGCAGGTACAGTAAACCTGTGATTCAGCCCCAGTGTGAATTTGTGTGTTTGATTTTAATCTTCTCATCGCTCCTCTGTACATTTTGATTGGTGATATTTTTTTTCCCGCGCCAAAGTGTCACAAAGGCAGTAACCCCACACATTTGCAAGCTGCTTATTGAAGACAAACAATAAACCAGTGGCAGATATCAATGGCAGAGATGAGAACCCGGGTGCCATATCAGCTGGGACTGCCTGGCGAAGCTGCCTCGCACTGCGCTTCATCTCCGGCAGCACCTCTCACTCTCAATTATTTGGCTGCTGTCACAACAAATCAATCAAATTACCGCTCCAGGACTGTGTGCAGCTGCTCCTATTGCACCGCTAGTTGCATTAGCTTTGAAATGTATGAGGTCTACATTTTATCACTGTTATTTATTTAATGCAGCTCTCTCCCCTGCGAGTCATCTTACAACCACGGCAAAGTTAAATCATTAAAGGACGACGTGGAATACATAGTGCTTGAGAAACACTTCAAATTAAACAGCGATAAGGGAGAAGGGATGGGTTTGGCCTCTATTGTGTTAAAGTGGCAGATGTTGATGTGTGGAAATTTAAACCGCTTGCACTGGGTCCTCTTAATGCCATCTCTGAAGGCTCATTGTGCACACAAACAATGGCTTATTTATGTTCCTTATCCAAAAATGATTCAACAAATACACATGAGGGAAAAGAAGCTCACAATGAGCAACCATAACAAGCCTAAAAAAGGATGGTTGTAACTCTCAAGCTTGGATAATGTAATGGGTAAAGGGACACAGAGGCATTCCCTCAGCAGACAGAGGTTAAGTCAGTGCCCGGCCCGGTGATCTCACCTCTTAAAGGAGCAGCAGTCAGCTGAGGCAGAAGAGATGCAGTCTGACATGTCTTACTAGTGTGGAAACATTTGGCTCTTCCCCAGGAGCCCACCCTTTGGTGGTGTAATGAGCATAGTGATTTCCCTAATTTGTACCGTACCAACACCCTACGAACGACACCGCTGAGCGTTTTCATCAAAACGACAGACATGCCTTTGATTGGCACTGACACCGGGTCTCATTACTGCAGGTGAGTGGGATGCCGACCTTTAGAAGGAAGCCTGAGTGCTGTTTTGTGTTTCCTGCGGACGAGTACAGAGGAACAATGCTCTCACCTCACCATTAGAACTCGGCTCTCTGATGTGCGGCGCTGCCTGTCTTTCAGCTGAGAGCAAATAAGATGGGATATGCTTATTAATATGAAGGAGCTCTAGTAAACTAGCTTCTTGCATTACCTTTGAGTGAGTCTTAGAGAAGAGGAGTCGACAGTTGAGACTTTGTTCTGCTTCCTCCCATTGGGCATTACATGTACAATGCTTTGATACAAGTCGCTTACAAGTATGGTAATCATGCTTTGCTTGTTATAAAATCATGTGAAATGAAAACCTATTAACAATGCATCAAGTTAGCATCATATCTAACAACAAAACAATCTGTAGATGTTGTGTCTGCTTCAGTAGTACATACTTACTCTATAGTTGTATACAAATTGTGAAAATCACGTATTATTTTGTATTCACATGAGCCGTCACATTTACAGACCTCAAGCATGACCCAACCTACTTTTTGCCTCTGTGAAGTCAGCTAGAATTGTGTGCACTCTGTCACAAAAGATAACTTTCCCCCTTGTTTAGTTTCATTGGGAATTTGTTTTTACTGCATGTTTGCAGGCATAAATCATTCTGACAAATAACCAGTTACACTGGTGCCCGTGTTTACTGAGTCTGCCACAAGATGCAGCTCAGTGTTGTTTAAGCAACCACTCCAAATGTATAGCACAACCCCATTACAGTGAGTTATTTATCACAGTCTGAGAGTGCTGCCCTCCTAAAGCTCACAGCCGCTTCCTTCTATCAACATTCATTCCTGCTTTGATTAGTCTGATCAAAACGGGATCAAAGACTGTTACTGTTTGTTCTGATTTGATCTTTTTATTTATTTTTCCTCATTAAAACTGAATATGATTATTTATGAAATGCAAGAACCATCTAGACAGAAAAACCCAAATGAATATCTGATGTAAAATATTAAACATTGCATTGTTACAAAGACTGAGTTTATAGCTATGCCGGCTGTAATGTGAAGAATACATTTCCTCCATTCCCAAGATAAACAGCCTTATTAGCGGGTCATTAGCCGCCTCATTACATTTAAATAGAGCCATTGGCTGGGCTGCTTGCAGTCTCATTACTTTGCCTCACAGTTGTCTTGTGTCTGATCTGACACTAATTAGCTAGCAGCGTGTGTGCTGTAAAACACACTTGCTCCTGAGGTCGTGAAACGAGCTGACTGCTCCCCGGCGACAGTGTGCCGCTGTATTATATGTGTGATTAATCAGGCCTGGAGTCCCAGAGGGGGGGGGGGGGGGTGCGGGGGCAGAGGCCAGAGTTGCAGTTGTCTGACAGAGGTGCTGTGCCAGCAGGCCTCATTCAGCGGAGCTGTGATGAAGTCAGACAGCGGAGAGTGGAGGAGCGCCGCGTGGCCAGAGGGGCCCGGACACAGTCAAGACATTTAGCTTCACTCGTGACTTGTGTCACTTTCTCTCCATGGAGGTCCCTTCAATGCATCCCCTTTAGATAAGAGGACGTGCGAACAGGCAGTCTGTCATGCTTAAAAAAAGATCTGCCACAGAGGCATTTCTCCACAACTATTTTTTTCACTATCTCTCATGGATGGGGAATTTTACCAGGACATTGGATTCCAGACTGTCTGTTGGTTTGTTTGTGTACAATAAGTATGACTGAGGGCTGTTTGTATTGCCATTCTGACACCCTGACAATGAGTTTGTCGATCAGTTCATCAGATCACTGCAGCCTTTGGGTTGTTCCTCACGCACCAGGACGAAGATCTGTTGAAGTGTGAGTCAGACGGGCCTGCTGGGCCCATTATCGTCCACTACTGATGGATACATTGAAGGGCTCGCTGGATAGATGCAGGTTTATTAAAAGCTCTGCCCACAGCGATGGTTGCTGTTATTTATGCATGTTTGTGTCCATTAGGCTTCTACTTCCACATTTCCTCACTCAGGGCATCTGTCCATCCATTTCCCCACATGAGGGAAGCTTTCCCTGCACTTTGTGCTGCACTGGCATTATTGTAATCTCAATTCTAAAAACACACTGCTTTACATGTAGCCTGGCATCTTTTTACATTAGTGCAGCTATCTCATCCAAGATGTATGACTGATGGTTTCCCCATCCATCCCTCAATCTAATGGTATAAAAGAGACAATGTTTTAAACATTAAAATGAAAACCATTTACAACTATGATCAAAAGAGAACACTTGGGCATTAAAGTTTAAAAGGAACGGATAAGTACAGCCATGTGGATGGACAGATGAGGTGGAAAAGAGATAGAAAAGTGAAGTACAGTGCACTCTTATGCACAGGAAAGAGGCACAAAGTGCTTTTGCGCTGCGCTGCAAAACGCTGACCTGTAATTAATATGGCTGTTCCTCTGGGCAAGTTGAGGATAGCCGCTATTTGGGATACAAACCCCTTAAGGATTCTTACCTGACCAGGCTTTGTAAAGCCTTTTCATAACAGAAAAAAACAGTTCTGTGCCATACATGGACATAGAACATCTCTAGCTGGGATCAATACGTGGTGTATTTATGAGTAATAGTTCCTGGTGTCTCATGTTTTATGAATCATGGTGTGTAATACAGAAAAACCTTCATGAGCATCAGAGAGTGGATTTTTTAGAACATCCATCAGCTTCCTAGAGTGCCTGCATTATTTTCTCCTTTCGTGCTGGGACATCAAGTTGACCCTGTTTAGTCAGACGGATGTCTACTCTGCCCTCTTTCTTACCTTGCAGGTTCTGGAGCGGGAGCGTCATGAGCCCCCCCGCAGCAGCAGCAGCCACCAGGCTCTGGAGGTTGGCAGTGGGCAGAGAGAGGACGAGGCCCTGCTGCCCCCCCAGGTGTCCGCCTGCGTTGAAGGGGATGAGGATGGGCTGGTTCATGCCCTGCGCCGCCCCGGACATCACGCCACCCACTGCATTGGCCAGCTGCTGGGCCACCAGGAGAGACTGCACACACAGCAACATACAGCATTGTTGGTTATATCATCACAGATGGGTGGTTCTCTGTGTGTTTCATAGGACCAAAATGATCATACATTATTGTCAAATGGAAAGTTTTGTGGAATATAATGTTTCTTATAATGAAAGGTCATTGCTTTTGATGAATTCAAATGTAAATAATATCCTACTTTCATAATGTGTTTGCTGTTATGTGGCCCTTCAATAGTGTTTTACATGCTGCTGCAATGATTTTAGCATTTCCCAGTTTGGGATAAATAAAGTATATCTTATCTCTTCTTGTATTAAATAACTTAAAACTGAAATTAAAGTAACAAATAGAAAATACAAGTCATTATAATCTGGACTGTGCATGGCACTTGTTAAAGTCAAAATAAATGTTGTAAATTCCAATCACCTGTCCCTGGTCATGGATGTCTTCGTACATTTCAATAAATATCCATAAACATTTTTATTTTGAGGGTTTCTCATGGAAATTATTTGTTTCTCTTTCTGTAAAAGATAGAATATTTCTGATGACTCATCTTGATCTCTGAAGCAGTTAGATACATTTTAGAAAAACATCGCACCATGAAAGCAAGACACACTCTAACATCCATTTGAATTTGATTTTAAATGTATATTTACACTGTCAACTTCTAGTTTGATGTAACCCACTTGTTTCTAACAACAATCTTTTAAAAATATTTACCAGCAAGAATAAAAAGGATAATGTCCAATATTGGGAGACTTAACTTTCGTGTGCCGCAGAATACATAATGCCGTTATATATAACAAAAATGGCATCACATTTGGTTTAAAGATATCTAAACTATTTTGGGATGCTTAATTGAGACGAGTAAAGCTGTCGCCTTAGGGACTGTTTCACTAATCAATGTGTTTTGATGAATGCAGTTGTTTTGCAGATGAATTATGTGCTGTCACACACTGACAGGGAAAACACTCTGCTGTTGTTACTGATAGAGATCTCATCCAATCTTTGTGGAAGCGCTGCAAATATTTCTTTCTCAGAGATGTAGAGTGATTCATGTTTTATCCCGTTGAACAAATCTCCGGTACCACAGAAATGAGCCTGAAATACACTGTGCTTTTCTTAAAAAAGTAGTAGCAGTACTTTACTCCTTTGATGAGGGATATAAACCACCACTCCCAACTCTTCATGAATCCTTTCATTCACATTAGTTCAAGTGGATTCGGTGCAGTCATACCCAAAGAGGGAAAGATATGTTATCAGAGGTGTCGCTCTGAGATATTTTGCACAGTACAAGATCTCTCCAATGTATTTTCCGAGGAAGTGGGTTTGGAAAACACCCCAACACATTTTTCATCAAGAGCTTTGAGCCAGAAGTGGTGATGTTTGTTCCACGGTGAAAACATCTCCATAAATACACAGGGAGGACATTTGATTCTTTCTGATAATCAAATGATGTCAGTGTTTGAGCACGTCAAACTGAATTTACACAGGAGGTATAAAACAGGATGCTGTAAAAATCAAACAGAATTACAGTTTGAATTGAATTGTTTGGAATACAATAGTAAGAGCACACTGTCGGGTTGTGTTGAGTCCACAATAAAGCAGCCTTTAGACGCTGCCAGGTAAGCATGGCTGCACGGTGTTGACTCCTGCACTCTGACTTAAGTTCACAAGCCTTTAACTCCAATTGTCAGCTATCTGCTTCTGTTCTGCATGGTGTGTGTGTGTGTGTGTGTGTGTGTGTGTGTGTGTGTGTGTGTGTGTGTGTGTGTGTGTGTGTGTGTGTGTGTGCAGCACAGGAGGCAGAGCGGGCTGCCTGGTGCGAAGACCACCGTACGCCCAGACCTGGTGCTCCGGGGTGACAGGCGTGTCACTGTGATAACCCTGCAGGGCGCAGAGTGCCTGCACCCACTCCGACACAATCCGTGATTGCAGTTTAAGAGGTACGAGGTCACATGGGTTTAAGGCCACAACGTGCACAGGGACCTCAGAGCGAGTTCTAAAACAAATGTATACCTGTTTGTGCTCTTAGCTGTTAAAAGAATAAAAGAGCATTGTCAGGTGATTGTTGTTGGCAGGAGTAATCATACAGACTATATAGGATTCTTCTTTTCTCAACATTTGCTTTGATACACCCAACCGTGCATAACAAATGACAATATCTGACGCATCTGAGAGCATCCAAAATGACATTTGCCATTAACTTTAAAAATGAATTAATAATTTGAAGGCTCAAAGAATCCTCAAAGGACAATAACAAAGGCGGGACGTTTGTTAGCTGCAAGTGACATATGTTTAATCTTGCGTTTTAAACTAAATGTAATCTCGAACCGAAGCAACATATAATCAAAGACGCTCTTTGAACATTTCATCTCTGAGTCAAACAAAATGAGACTGCCAGGCTTGACAGCAAAGACAGCCTCACATAGAAGGGAATAACATTAAAAGACAATTCTGCAATTATCAGATGTAGCCCCTGATTTATTTATCATTACAGGCAGCTTTGGAGAAACAGGCAGCTGTTAGGAACACAGGCAGCTGCCAAGAGAAGCCTTTTTTTCTTGCAAAGAATCTTGGTCTTTAGGCTGTTTGCTGTGCCGGCTTAACACTGATTATGATCTTCATCCAACATGAGAACACTGTGCAAGTAAACATCAAAATGAGATATTATAATACATTTAGCGTGAACACAATTAGCTCAGTTCTGCAGCCACAACAAACGCCTTTTCTATGAGGATCCCCAGCATCCTTCATCTAGATTTCTAAGCAGCTCACTTTCTGTCTTTTCGCCTGATAATCTCACTCCTCCTCTCCATAGGTGCTGTTGTACAGTGCTTGGCAGGCCTGACAGCTGAGTGTTGAGAAGTGGTCTCCTAGGGGCCCACAGACAGGGTGTGTGTTGGGCTCTGGATGGGGAAGCAGCCCCACTCAGGACAGGATGCGGTACCCAGCCTCTCTGCCCATCAGGGGAGAATAGGCCCTTCTATCTGCTTGGCAGCTTTGGCACTGAGAAATTGCCCATAATCACCCAGATAGCAGACTTTTGTCATCCTAACTGCAAGTGGGGAACAGAAGGAAGGTGGATTCATGTTGGGTAAACTACCATCGGATAATGGTTGTTCGAACAATATCCGGCTCTGGAGCGAGAATCTATCAAAACATATTGATCCTGGAACAAGAGAATTGGGTATGTCGTGCGGAGCGCCTTTGTTTCTGAAAAGTGTTAGCTTCACAGTGACTGTACTGACAGCATTAATATATTAGATGGTGACTGTTGAGGGCTCCTGCTGCGGCTCAGACTGTAACTGCCTGCTGCAGATGCTTTCCTTTAGTGTTTATTTCTTATCTATTACACAAACTGCGACTCTCACCAGCGAGGGTGTCGGTAATCAGAAAAGTGCTTTTAATTAAGCTCATTCTTCATCTCCGCTCGCAGCAGATTGACTCTTTCACTGGGGATTCCTCACCCTGTAAACCTGCCCGACGAAACTGAATGACTCTCCTCCTCTCATGTTTCCTCTTTTGTTTATCCCGATGAGGATTGACTGTCAGTACAGTACGTTACACTGAGTGCAGGGAGAATGGCCTTATTAAAGACGGTAAAGGAAACCTGACGCTCTGAGTGTGTGTTGAGCGGTGACATTGAGCAACACTAATGAGATAAATGTTCATTAAACATCGCAGAGCCACCAGGCCAATAAATCCAATCAGATAGGACAATGCCTGATTGAGCTATTAACAGGGCTGCAGGCTCGGGCTCTTTGCTGTCCTGCTTGTTATGACAAGGCCTGTATTGTCGGCTCATTAGTGCCACCACTCAATTACATTTGATGTGAGATGACAAAATACTTTACTATTTCACATTCTAACTGAAAATGACCCTCAGTCTATCAGTGTGTCTGTGAGGGTCTTCCAGAGTGTTACACTCACCAATGAAATAGGATTTCATAACTGAAACTATCAAGTCACTCACATCACGGCTGCCATTAGGGATGGGACGATAACGTTACAATGTGACCATATTTCTATGTATTCATCCTTATTTGTTCAGGGGGCCTTTATGATAACCTTATTTGGGTTTGTTTAATTGTTTGTTTGGCATAAAACATGTGGTTGAAATGTTCACTGATGTCAGTATTGCGCCTTCATGTTTTTTCCCATTCCCTCTTGAGCGCTCTAGGCGAGGAGCAGGTGGTTAAACCTGATGAGGCTGGCAGCTCTCTGCTTCAGTCCGTTACATTGTTCACAGTATTTTTAGAAGGTCATCGGTCAGGTAGAATAGGATGTCATTTAAGGTAATAAAAACATGTTATTTTGATGTACTTAAGACTTAAAGTCCAGATTCCAGACACTTTAAACAGACATATAACAAAAGCCAATCTGGAGATAATAAAATAGGCTATTATTGCATCTGAGTAGCTTCTCCAACATGTGTTATATCTGTAATAATATGTCAGGATTTGTGTAAAAACACCTGAAACTGCTACTTGAAAATCCTGGTTTCAACAGCGCACATTTTTAAAAGTTTTTTTAGATTTGTTTGTCCTACATCTTATTATGTCAGGGTTATTTGGAAAAGGAATATCTCCAGACCTCTGTAAGCTTAACAAGCAAGAGGCAAACCTTAACATTTATAGTAGAGGTGACACAACTCATATCAACTTGAGTTATTTAGGGAGTTTTGGCTTTACTAAATGTGTGGTGCTGTGTTTGGCCCTCACTCACCTGTTGACCCATGGAGAACGCTGGGTGGGAATGGCCCAGATGACTCTGCTCAGAAGGACTGCTGCTGGTGTCAGACTGGACCGAACCGTCACAAGCTCCTGGGAGAGCAACGTGCAGAAAGAGAAACAAACAAACAAAGAATGCACCTTAGATCAACACAGACAATATAAGTAGATAAACACACAACACAGACCACGCTGTGATATTACAACGCGGAGGAGGGCAGTTGGGAAAGGAGGGGAATTTGTACTTAAGTGCTTTATCAATAACCGCTGCAGCGCTGAATAAATGACCAGCCAGCGGAGAGGCTCATTGATGGGGGATGATGCATACTGGCGGGTCCCCGATGGCCTAGATTACCGCTGAGAGATAGAGCTCCACCACAAACGCTGGGGCCATATTATTCAGCCATTTACATCACCGAGTATTACTCATCTAAACCCACTCCCCCCCACCCCCTCCACTGTGAGCCTGCAGCTACGAGACACAATTAGACCTGTTTGCTATGAGGGCAGAGTGGAGTGGAGCAGACGGGGACATGATAATAAGCTTGCTGATGGCTGCGGGGAAAACAAAGGACCCCGCCGATTGGATATCGTGCCGATCACCATCTCACAGACTCTCTTAGCACTGAGTGTGGATCCTGGTAAAAGTTCAGAGAGGCTCTTTGACCCTCACCCTTTGACCTCGATGATATCGAGATGGCATGATGCCTCAGTGTTGACACAAAAGCTCTCTGAGTAAATCTTGCAGAAAAAACTGTCAGAAAAATGTAAATGTCTCTCGGAATGCCTTTCACCAAACTGACTGTTCAGAAGAGAAATACCACCTGACTGAAAATGACTTAATTTAACTTTCTGGGAGTATTCATTTAAAAGGACAGAAACTAATCGCTGGAATATTTTAATGTGATACACACTTAGATCGTACTAAAGCAAGAGTGTGCCAAACTTATAATAGACATGGACATATATCCAATCAAAATGGCAAAGACATAGTGGATGATTTTCTGACAAGGTCTTCTAATTTCAGTGTTGAAAAGATGTTGGTTCAGAGGAGGAATGTCTTTTGTTATAAGATGGTGAAGTTGCTGAAGAAAACAAATACAACTATTTGCTATTACAAACAAGGACCCATGTTTCTTTTCGTAGAGGATGTCAATACAGTGGAATTACATCTCCAGTCCTAATTGATTTGTGAGCATGAATAGGCCGTGAAGGGCATTTCTTTGTATGATGAAAACATAAGGTATTTGTTTTGAAGTGCTTAAACAACATTTAAAAAATGCATTATTTCTTAATCAGCTCTTTACTTAAATGTATTATTTGCTGGTTTATATAAATGGAAAATAATTCTGGTGATTATTAAGAAATGAAAACATAGTTATGATTATTATATTAAATCTCAGCTTGTATCGCTCTTAATCCTACACACTGTAACTTTGAATTGATGGTCGCCTATTTAGTCATATTTCAAGTTACAGAGAAATAAGTATTTGGAAGCTTTCAGGAGCTCTAGAAACTCAATTATTTCATTAATATGTAAAAAAAAAAGGACTTTAGCTAAATAGACAGGAAGTGTTAAACAAGTGTAGGGACATAGAGGAAATACACATGAGGTGGATAAAGCTTTTTTAATCCATTCTTTGAAAAGAAAAAGAAATGTCTCCTTTTCATCATAGATAAGAACAACAAAATGGCTTTATTAACTACAGATACATGTATTACACCCCTACTGGTAAAACATGTACAGTGGCATAATACAATTGGCTTATTTTATTATTAAACACTAATATGATCATTTTTCAAAAAGGTTATTCACAAATAATGATCTTTTAAAATATATGACACAAAACCCCTCACAAGTCAATAATACATATTTTAAAGTTTCTTTCATGCAACAGCAAAAGTGCATTTTGTAAATGAAGTCCTGCTATCTATGTGGAAATGTGTTTGAAGGCCACAAACCTCATTGATTCACACAATTTTGGTAATGAATAAAAAAATGTAATCACATTTCCACTGATCTCCATCGATTTCCCAAATGGAATATTTCCTGCTTTTCAAAAAATAAAGCAGTGAAAAGTTGTGTCTTAAGGAATGAAACGTTGTTCTCTTGTTAAACGTTGCATGCAGTGGTTTCCTAGTCCTTTTCGAAAAGCTTCATGCAAAGCGGGCTATAGAAAAGCCTTGCCAGAAAGATCTCATTGCCTGTCAAGTATATTCAAGCATTACATTTTAACCTCCCGTCCGCCAACTTAAATCATTTCATCTTTACATAAAATCCAAATAATTGGTGAGTGGCAAACCTCCAGCATTTGATGGCTGATGTGAGAGCCCAGGGGGAGCCTGCTTTTCGAGCTGGTTTCTACCTCTGGCTGCTGGCCCTGCTTCACGATGAAGGTCCACATCCTCTCGCTTATCAACCTCGCAACGCGGGGATATTTTGACAAGCCAGTCTCTTTTAACCAATTATTTCACCCATTATGGATCCCGGTGTGCGCTAGCCCCACCCTGTGCACTCAGTATCTGGCATTAAGATCTGAACATACAGCAAAGACTTTGTGGCTGGATTAGAGTTGATATAAAGTGACAGATAAAGAACAATTTCATCATAATCTGCTGTATAAATTCACATTTGTTTTTATAGGGTAAACATTGGAAGGCAATATTAGTTTTTTCCCGGATTTGATCAGGTAAAGTCTGAGCAGTTAGTTCTCACCGTGGATGTGATCACACTTAAGTTATGCCTTTCAGTCTTTCTATGTCGTTTAACAGCCACTTTTAAACCACCTCAAAGGATATTTGCCACACTTTGATAACATGAAATAAATGCAGCAGTGCTACAGGAAAACTTTTGCGCCAGTAAATTACCTATTTATCATCATAGCAAAGCTAATTAACTAAATGAAGGTATCCAGCTATAATGAAGGGATGAGACTTTATAACATTACCAATGACTCTAAACTGTATTGCTCATGACTGTAGTTAAGACGTTTGTTGTGAATAATGTATTCTATCGGAGAGAAAGTGTGGGAGACTTACTCAATAACGATTCCTTGATGCCTTCATTTCACAATAACTTAGAAAGCTTCATCCCCTTGCAAATATCTGTAACGTTAACACGTTTATCGCGGGCGAAACAATCGATAAAAAATAACTACACATGCACATCTACCCCCAAAGGATTTGTGTAATTTCTTTAACTAAATTAAATAGCTGACAGGAGAAAAGCCCAGGGAGTCGGTCTTTAATTCTTTTTTATTACTTGAATTGTGTACATGTTTTGCTTTTCTTTTGTGTACTTTAAATGTACTTATGCAATGTAAATGATCATTACATGGATTTCCAGATGGAGATTAATATAATATACAGGGGGAAATGTCTTGATCAAACTTTGACTAAAAAGAAAGTTCTATACAGAGGTTATACAATGAGTAAAATGGAATGAATATATGCGTTGATGTGAGGAGAGATGAAAGAAGAGGCCAATTGGATTAAGGAACAGGCGATGCACATTCAACACAGCTTTACATTCATCTGGGACATTCAGGCTTCATCTTTCTTAGCAGTTTAAATGGCGTTGTAACAGTTTAAATGTAGATACGCACGTTTTTCAAGGCCTATACTGAAAGTGAGAAGATGACTTGAATGACTTGAATCAGGTCTAATCAATTCAAAAAGCATACTGATGTATTATATTCAATGAAAAAAACATTTTTACACAAGTGAAACTATTATATTTAATACAGAACACAGAGTGCCATTTGATGTGACTTATGTCATGGGAATATTGCCAATATCCGCCACCACTATATAAATTCTCTTTCATTGATCACTAAAGTGGCCACTGGAGAGCGACTTTCAATGCCACACAAGGCTGAAGGTCTCTCTGTGCGGTGTGTGTGCGTGCTGGGGGGGGGGCAAAGAGCCATATTTATTTGACTTGGTTCAGCCGGTCTTAATGCAGGGTGCCCCAAGGACTACACCACAAAACAATTAGCCTGGATTTCATAAAGCAATCAGCATGCCACCTTGTCTAATGCAATCGCTTCATACATTGACAGTCTGAAAAAAAATTGTTATTGAAAGCTTTGTGTTCATGTTAGCTTTTGCCTCAAAGCATTCATGAATCAATTTTTGCCCATAAAAGAAGCTTTAACACTTAAGCTATTTTAGTGGAAATGCATTATGTAAGTTGTCAAATGTACGAGAGAGGCCTGGTAACGATTCAGGCTATTCAGAATGAACAGCCAACCCCCATTTTTATAATGGTCCTTTTGAAAATGCCTGGCTGAGTGCATGTGTTTGCTATTAAGATGGTGTCAATCATTTTCAACTGAAATTGAATCCACGGAAAACAATTTCACATGTGAACACATTTAAAAAGAGCGAAGATTATAAGATGATTACATTCTTAATTATTATAATAAATTGAACTATTAAAGTAGAGAATTATAGCACAAAAACAGCAGTATCATTTTTATCATCAAATGTGTGTCGCGCTGTTGATTCAGAGCGTTAGTGGGACAGCGATCTGTGAGCTAATCAAGCGTAAAGAATGGGCCGACATACAAAGGAAAAAAATGCATCATACATAAGCTTTAATTCCATCAATACACAACCAATTGTCCCAGATTGTTTGACCATTGATTTTGTTAATACCACTTTGAAAGTTGATGTTGCATTGCAGAGAGAGCTGAGATAGAAAGAAATGTAGAGCGACAGCTCATTACACTTCTCTATCTAAAGCCCAAAGAGTAATGTTACAAACAACCAATGGCGCTGCAAAGAAGACTATAACATAAAATGTTTGCTTTATAGTGATTTACTTAACTCCTTGTAGAATGTAAGAGAGCCAAACTCACCAGTGATTTAGCTCAGTGTTTCATTACTCCCACCAAAGCCCTCAACAATAACACAGGACATAATCTGCTGCCAATAACTCCAGGTGCTCTTAGTCAGATGGCTCCCTCTGGACCAGCAGGGTAGTAATACTCTGTTTAGAGGCCGGGGTGGAGACGCTGCTATAGGTCAATAGTGTTTCTAGGGATAGAAAACCACCAGAGACGGACTTTTGAGCGGCTGCCTGTAACACT